TCAATAATATGATCGATATCATTTCTTAGTTTATGATTGTCATCATCAAATGAAGGAAAATAATTAGATCCTAAACTTTACTCAAAGCTTTATTAACTTCCTCGAATAGCTTAAATCTTAATATCAGGAATATTATCATTTGAATTTATTATTTGCATAGGTTTTGTAAATGGAAACATTCTAACAATTTCATGAGGACTTTCTTCAGCAATGTCTTATTCTCCTAAACTTCAATAAATCAATACCAGTAAATCTTTCACCAAAGAAAGGATGCTACAAAGCCTAAGAAGCTGATATTCTTTTATTAGGATCTTTTTAAAGCATTTATTTTATTAAATCAATAGTTTCATCTGAACAATTTTTTAAATGATTATTGCATAAAAACTTTTTATTGTTTTCCAATAATTCATCACTTGTATTTCCACTAAATAAAGATTTCTTACACAATAATTTATAGAATATTGCTCCTAAACTAAAAATATCTACTTTAGTTGTATATGGGTATTTTTCTATAAACATTTCTGGTGCTATATATCCAGGAGTTCCACATAATTATCTATAGGGACATGATGTCTAAATTGCAAGACCAAAATCTATAATCTTAACAGATTCCACTTTTCCTTATTCATTCAAAACTAAATTTTCTAATTTTAAATCCCTATGGATTATATTATGTAGGTCTAAATAACATAATGCTTATAAGCATTTCTATTATATAAATATATTGATACACTTATTATTTATCGAATCTATGTAATTGTTAATGAATGTTTTTTCGAATACGAATGCAGAGATTCACCCTATAATAGTTCAAGAATGATATAGAATGATTTTTCTCCTTCGAATATATCTATCATTTTAACAATAGTTTCATGGTCTAATTTTCTCATTAATTCAATCTCTTAAATCATACGATTCTATATCATATAAATATTTACATATCTCTCTTTATCTTCTCTTCTATAGATGTAGTCTTTACGAATGCATTTCGAAGCAAATTCTTTATGTGTTAATTTATTAACAACTCTATAAACTTTTGATGATGCTCCAGAACCTAATATTTCTTTGCTCTCATAAATAGATGAAATGTTCCCAAAGAACAGTCTCCCACATAAATGTTTATACAAATGTTATAAATCAGAACTGTTAGCATGAAACCATTTGAGTGCTTTATTATACTTTATACCAAATGCAACAAGTTAACTCTATTCTGTCCTCCAATATATCAAATTTTCAAAATTTAGTTCTAGGTGATACTTAGAGTCTTGAAAATTGACTGTCTCTTTTAGGTGGATGTTATCTTACCTCAGACATTTTTATGCAATTCTAATCTAAAAGTAGATGATATAGCTTATCCTTTATGAAATGTTTTCGTTAACATTCCATTTAAAAGGAAGTCGTACCTTTCTATTATAACATTTTAACAATATTTAAATATATTTTTATTTTGATCAAATGTATATTTATATAAATAATTTAAATACAATTGCTAATCATTTTATTTTAAGACTTAATTTGCTATCATTTGTTTAAAATATTAGAATTTTGTTTAAATTTATAAATTAAATGAAAATCTTTTCATTTTCTAATATAAATTTATTATTAATACTTTTTTTTCTTTATCATAGAGTCAAATAATATAATAATTCTGATTGTTTTTTTCATCCAATATAATAATATAAAAAATTTTTATTATGAAAAATGTTTCCTATAATTCTATTTTCAATATAATTGATTAATTAAAATTAAATAGTTATGGTTAAATATAAAAAAATGCAAATCAAATTAACTAACAACTTGAGTTACTAGATGACGATTGAGAATTAGGTCTTTTTTTAATATCGTCAATTTATTTTTCCATTTAACCTATTTTTTAATTATAATAATTTATTGTCTGTTTTAAATCTTGTTCATTTTATTTTTATTATTTGAATTCTTTAAGCTAATCCTTCAACATTTATATTTCTTCTTCTTACCTTTAAGCCTACCTTTATAGTTCTCTTTATTCATATACATCTAAATTATTATGTTATTTTTAAGCACTCTCAATTTATGTTTTAAGTTATTATATTTCTTAGTTATGTTCCCATTCTGAGGATTATATTCGCTTTTATAGACTTGTTATTTGAGATTAAGATTGATTTATGTTTCTTTGTAATGCGTATTTTTCTGATTCAATTTTACTTATTGCAGCCTTATCCTATTCAGCTTTTTTTAAAAATGCTATTCTTGTACTTATTATTTTTTCTATTTTATTTAATTAATCTTCTGCAATTGACTTTATAATTTTCATCTCATCATACCCCTTGATAAGATCAGAAAATTAGGAGAAATAAGTAAATATCTTTTTGAAATTATTACTCCTATTTGACAAATCACTTTTACCTGTAAGATTAGTTGTCAATTGTTCACAAATTGAAATGAAATTGATATACCAATCTAAAGGAGAACCCTTATTTTCTTTTTTTATCACATCTAATAATTTTTACATTTACACCTAAGTAGCCCTATTTTATGCATCAGTTAATTAAGTATATTTATTATCAAAAATGTCACACAAACCACTCCCATATTTTTCAATTGTTTTTAATGTTGTATATCTTAAATATTCGCTTATAATTTCACTTTTAGGTAGTTTTTATGGTTGAATTTTAATCGATTACATTTATTCAATCTATTACCATAAAGTTTATCTTTATTCATTATTGAAAATTGTTTGTATTTCATCATTCTTTTTAGCTTTTCTCAATACAAGTATTTTATCAATTGATTATAAAATATTAACAGCCCTTAGATCTTCTTTTACAGAATTTTACAATTCTTCATCAGATAAGTCTTCCAAATAACAATTTAATATTAAATTAAATTTTTGGATATTAATTCTTCCTTATAAGCATATTTGTTTAATAAATTCTTAGAGATCTGATCCTCTATTAGGAAGACTATTTTCAGGATTTTTTATAACATAAATAATTTTTATAGGACCAGAAGTAACAATCTTATAAAATAAAAGTTCAAATAGTAATTGATCCCAATCACCACTTGTGTCTTAGAATCCAGGAAAATCGATAATTAAATGATTATTTTAAGAATTATGATAAAAATTTGGTTCTTTTGTGATTGAATTCATTCCTCCAAACATTTTAGAAAAATTATTTGAAGGATTCTTGATTTCCAACTGTTTTTTATCATTAATTATAAAATCTGCTCCACTTTAGAAGTTGAAAATAGTACTTTTTCCTGATCCTGTTACTCCAACAAGTAAAACAACTGACATATTCTATTTTTTATGTTTATTAAATTCATCCATCTATCTCTAAAATTTTTCTATAATTTTCAATAAAGTTTATTCTTGATCATTTTTGTAATTCATTTTTATAAGAATAAGATTGATATTTCAAAAATTTATAAACTCACTCAATATTTCTATTAAGTTTTTTAATAGAATAATCAAATACATATTAAATATTTATTGAATTTTTATTAGAAATCTAGAAATAATTATATTTAACTAGAATAATTTCAAAATGTAAATTGATTTTATCATTTGTCAAGAGAAAAATATATTGAAATAATATTTAACAATTAATTTATCTATTAAATATCTCTAGTGACTTATTAAATTTTCTCTTATTATATCAAGAAAAAGATTTCTTATATTTACAATCATAGAGATGGTTTTGATTAACTATAAACTTACAATCATTACTATAATATATAATCTATTTAAGTATGATCTATGATCTAATTATTAATGGTGGTTAAGAAATAAAGTTTAAAATTAAACAGAAAAATTTCAATATTAAATACTACAATAATTTTTATCTATAATTGAGAAAATAAAACATTCAATTTATTCTCCTTTTTTTCAATCTTATTCATTATTTTTAATAATTCATAATTTTATAAATTAAATATAATTAATTTAATATTTTATATTTTTTATTTGATTAATATTGATCATCATTTATTCAACCAATTAAATAACTTAATTAGTAATCAGCTTTCAATGATTGATCAACAATTGTTTTATTATTTTTATGATAATCTTCAATGTCAACTAATTTATCACCAACAACTTAATCATATCCAGTATTTTCCAAAGCTTTATAATTTGCAATCAATTTAGTTAGATTAATATATGATGGACAATATAATTATTAACCAATAATACAATTATTAGTTGGATGAATAATCTAAATTATATTATAATATATATATACTTTTTCAATAAAAGATTGATTTAATTTAGCTTTATATGTAGATCCAAGACTATCTTCTATAAGATGAATAATTGATTTGAAATCAATATGTTTATGTCCTTTTGCTAATAGTAATTTTCCTGCATGAGAACCTGCTAAAACTTAAGCCACAATTTATTCTAAATCACCTGTAAAAATAGGAGCACATGATTATCCAGTATTTTAAAAGTATATACTTTCACCATTATAAATTCTTTATGCTAATTTATTTGTGAATGTGCTTTGTGGTCCAAAAGTAATATCAGATCTAATTCCAACTAATTAAGGTATAAAACGACGTCCTTCTACTTCTAAATGTTTCCATTCATCAATTTCTTCTTAATGATCATGTTCTACTGGTGCAACATATGCAACAGTCTTATAATTTCTATTTTTGACTAAATCTAATGTAGCAACCAATAAATTCTTTTTTGATGCAGTTGTTTAATAATAATCATGACTGACATATAATATATTATTGGCTTATTTGATTACATCATGTAAATCTTGACGATCTCCAACTTTGAATAATTCTATGTTTGCTGATAATGATGATTTAAATTTAAGTAGTCTTTGAACTGTGAAATAAGTTGGGAAAATGTCAGCACAAATAATCTTTTCATATTTGCCACTTTCAACAGCTACTTTTAAAAATCCTTAAGCAATTCTATTGCTAGCATTCAAAAGAAGGAGAGACATATTAATAAATTAATTATAATTTAATATATAAGTAAAAATGATTTTATAAAAGGTTCATAATCAAAATCTGCCTGAAGATCTTGTTCTAAGTAAAAAAGATTTGAATTCATCTACTAATTTAGTAAGTTCTTAAGTTTCTTTTTATTTTTATAATTTTTATTCTTTCTAAACTTAATACTTTTTTTATCTTTAATCAAAACAATCAAAGGCTCTAATTTATACTTTTTTAGGTGTTTGATTAGGACTTAATAAAGTTTATTAACTTAAATTAATTATATGTTTAGTACATTTAACGTATAAATGAATCATCATCTAAATATTCTAATTCACTTTTTGGTGTGATACTCATTTATATAGTATTTTATTAAATAGATAATAAAGGTTTTTTTTTACAATAATTCCTTCTTTCTAATTCTTCAACAACTTTTTAAACAATAACTTCTGTATATCTATCTTGATCCATACTTGATAAAGAATTTGTAAAAGAAGATGCAACTGGAGTCTTTGATATTTTAAGATATGGTTATTTATTTTCTGTATTTTCTTATTGTGGCAATTTAAAGAATACTTCTTTAACTTTTACATGATCTGACTTAATATCACTTTAGACTATTGTAGATGTACTTTAATCAGTATTAGTTTATTTATTAAGTCTAAGTTCTTATTATGATGATGTGAATTATTTAATAAATTCTCTAACTTCAGGATTAACAGAATCTCTAGTATGTTTCATATCGGTTAATAATTATATTTTTATAATTAAATATAATTGATCACTTAAATTTTCTTGCCAAAATAATTGCTCTAGCAATTTATTTAAAAGATCTTTTTGGTTGTTTTAATAAACCATAATTCTTTTTTTTCTAATAAAAGTATATTAATTATTATTTACTTAACGATTATATGATTATTAAAGAAGTTCTGTAAAAGGTAAAAATTATTTAATTTGAGATGGTTTAACTTCTAATTTAAATCTTTTAACATCTTCTATATCTATAACATAATATTCCATATATTCCTGAAATACATTAGTATCATATTCAGTATCAATTTTAGGTTTAACAGAGTTACCTAATTGATATCTATGAAATTCTTTCAACACAACAGAGAGATTATTGTGAGGATAGAATATATTATAATCACATCCACATTCAAATTCATTTAATAAAACAAAATTTTTTTTAATTTCCGATTATTAACTTCCATTATATTTATCTACTTCTTATTTAAATATTTAATAATCAGCCATTATATCTTCCATTTTTTATTATAATGTTCCACTATCACTTTCTTCTGAACTTTCATTTGGAGATTTAAATTAATTAATTGGTATATGATTTAAACTTGTTTCACCACTAGCATGAGATGACAATAATGCTTATGAAAGATTTTTAGTCATACTAAATATTTCTGATTATTTAATTTAAATCTATTATATCTTTTATGCAGATTTTTTAAATGTCTATTCCCAATTTCTTCTTCTATTTCTATCTTCCTTAAATTTTGATCTTAATTTAAATCCTTTCTTTATTGATTCATCTTCTACTGCCTATGATAATTAATCATCCACATTACATTCTTCAATCAAAAATTTATGTGTTGGTATATTCATTTATAATTTTATAGCTACTTTTTCTAATTCTGTTCTATTTTTCAAAGCATTATAATTCATTCTATCTTTTCTTACAAAATCTTTCATTATAGCTTTAATACATCTGATTTTTGTCTTTTAATATACATATAAATCAATCACAAAATGTAATGATGGACATTCTCTTATTACATGTCCTGGTAAATCACAAGCATAACAATGAATATTCAATATTTATAATTATCTTTTATTTACTTCTTCATTTATAAAATTAAATCTTTCTCTATCATCTGGAAATTTATCTAATAATCCTACAAAATCTTGTCTTTTCAATACAAATACATCAGTAAAACCATTACTTTTTGCAGATGCAGTCCTTCCTATATTCCCAAAAAAACTTATTTCACCAAATATTTATTTATTATTCAATCTAGCCACTATTTATCTTGTCTTTATTAATACTATATTTATTTAACCTTCTTAAATAAAATAGAGAATTTATTCATTTTTAGGTTCATCTTCAATAAATACATATTCATCTGGTTATATTGTTTATTCTTTTAAAATCTATGTTAATTCTATAAGTAATTTCCTTGAAAATGTCTCACATAACAATTTATAACTAGCCAATATAGTTCCATTTACTTAAATTGTAAATTCATATTTTAGAGATAAAGAGAGATTTTAACATATAGATTCTAAATTTATACTTCTATGAGAATCCCAAATATATTATAAATATCTTCTTACTTTATTTTATAATTGTTTTGGAATCTTAACTTTTGCCATATATATATTTATTTCAGATATCCTCTTCTAATATTGATCTTACTTCTAACTTAATTATTACATTGTATTACCTATGGTGTTCATAGTAAATGAGAATACACCACAAGCAATCAAAAGAAAAAATACTCCAAATAATCTTTCTAATGGTGTTTATGGAGATAGATCACCATAACCTACAGTAATCATTGTTGTTACTGCCCAATATACAGAATTTACATATCTAATTTCCCAAGGTTCATCATACAATCCATAAATAGAGAGCCAATTGTATGTTGTATCCTCACTTTAACCTATAAAATGAAATATACATCCTAGCCAATGAGACCAAAACAAAACAAATGCACAAAGTTTTAAAAAACTACCTATTGTTTAAATTATAGAACTATCTGAAAAATATTCTTCTATTTTATCCATTATAGCCTTTAATTTTGCCAATCTTAATAAACGAATTACTTTAACAAATCGAAAGAATTTTAATACTCTTAAAATTTAAGTACTCTTCTTTAAATTATCTGATGATTCATTAACTTCATCTCCAGCTTCTCCTGTTAATGCTGCATTAAATACCATATCATATGGAAATGATGCCACAACATCTATCCAAAACCATAATTTGAAATAATCAAATGCTATCGCCTTGTAAGAATAATTAATATTTCCATTCAAATAGACTGCTGTATTAAATGTTAATACAATATCGAATAGAAATGCTGCTGTTATTACATAACCAAATTCAGCACTTACTTCTATGTCAAAACTTATTCTTATTGGTATTGTTATAATTTCATAGAGAATCAAAATCATACAAAAAAAGTCCCACAATAGTTTCACAGAACTATCTGGACTTAAAATTAACCAAAAATTTTCTATCTACTTATTTCTCTTATTAATATCAATTCTTTAATTATCTGATTAAGAAGACTTAGATAATTCTTTCATTTTTTCGTTACGTTCCTTTTCATCTAAATCAATATTATCAAAAGGTAGAAATACTTCATCAATATCTTACAATCTCTATTCTAATTTCAGCTTTCCCATATAAATAGCTTTATCACCAAATATAAATTTTTCTGATTAAGAAAGATCTGTATTAATTTTTCTGTCTTATAAACAACGTTGGAAAAACTCTCCTTTTCTTTATTCCTAATCACCTCTCTTACTCATAAGAGCTTAATCCTCATTAGCTGCACGAGCTGAATATTGCTCTATCTCCATAAAAATAGAGTTCATTTAGAATTTTTATTAATGTTTTTTTTCTTTGTTAAAAATAAACTAATATTTTTGTTTACATTTATAATTAACTTACATCATATTATTTTATATGTTAATCTATCATATAATTAAAAAATAAAATCATAACACTAATCGAACTCAAAAATATTCTTAATAATTTATTTTACACTTTATATAAATAGATTCAAAAATAGATATTATTAATTCTAAATAGTAATTTTTATTTATATATTTTTCTTAAAAATCTGCCTTTCTTTACATTTTATTTTAATTCTTAATATATTATCAAGATGAAGATATGTATATGAAGATTATTTATATATAATACTTTTATATATTATTTACTATAATCATCTTCTTTTCTTCTTTATTATTCCAAGCTCACCCAATATAAACTCGATTTCTTTTTTTTCATCAGTAGTGTGAACTTTATTGATTGCAACTGAATAATTTTCAAGTCCTGCCGTAGATATTACAAGTAGTCTATTAAAAAAATGTTTGAATAGTCCTTTTAATTCATCATTTTTATCTTCTACATAATTTTAATATGTGAAATTAAAAGTTTACCCTTTCTCCAGTTTTTCTCTCTTTGCCTCCTATAACTATTTTTCTATACCAAGTAATTTGTCATCATTCTTCATCATTAAATCTTCTTTCTTTTATTCTAATTTTTTTAATTTTGTTGCTTTTTCCCTTAATTCAGCCAATGCCTTTTTCTAAATTTCAACTTACTTTTATCCATCTATTAAACTAGGTATTATTTTGCATTTCAATAAATTAATAAACCCTTTATCTGAGTCTTAATTCTGATTTTTCATATATTTTAAATTAACTTCTTAGATGTCTTTTGCAAGTTCATCAAATAATTCAATAAGTGATAATGAGTCTTAGAATGGTTCTTTAGCCAATCCTCTTAAAAAATTTGCAAAATCATTATAGACTCTATGTCTCTCCTACTCTACTTTTAAAATTCTCTCGAATTATCCTCTTAAATCAATACAAAATCTATCATCTTTACATAGACTTTGATAAATTTAATCAAATTGAGATTCTGAAGTCACTATCTACATCATTATGCAATTTAAATGAAATAAAATTTAAGTAAATCAATTTAACTCAACTTGAAAATTCTCGGAAAAGTTCTTAAAATCCTATTATTTAAAAACAATTATATTTCCAAATAAATTGATTTTTATTGATTAAGAAACTTCTAATTATTTGCAATCTGATTTACTTTATCATCAATACTAAAAAATTAAATTATAAATATCATTTCTAAGTATTTTTCTAATATAATTTATTTGGTTTATTTTTTTAATGATAATATATTAGTATTTCAATAATATAAGAGTTAAATGTAATTAGTATTGAAAAAATACTAAATTTTAGTAAAAATTAAGATTATATTGAAATAGGTAACATTTCCTATATTTGTAATATTATATAAATTGACTATGGATTATTTCAATAATTTATATATATATATATAATATTATCAATAATATCAATTGATTCTTATTCTATTAGATTTAACTTATAGATTACTCAAATATTTTCACTAGTTATTTGTTTGATTTAAAAAAGAAGATATATATTAGAGTTTTTAAATTATGGAAAATTAATTAATAATTGCATGAATTCGAAGCGAAAATAAATCAAATTGGAATCAGAAAACAAAATTAAACAAGAAGAGTATTCTAATGATGAGGATTCCTTTAATGAATCTAATGATGAAGACCTAAAGAGTAGTGGAAAGTTAAAAACACGACATGATAATTCTTTATCTGTCTTAACTAAAAAATTTGTTGAACTTATCCAAAATTCAGATGATCTTACAATCGATTTGAATATGGCTGTCAATGATTTAGGAGTTTAGAAGAGAAGAATATATGATATAACAAATGTCTTAGAAGGAATAGGTTACATTGAAAAAATCTCAAAAAACAAAATTAAATGGGTTGGTACCACTGATAATCCATAATTAGAAACAGAGTTATAATAGATTAAATAAGAATTAGAATTACTATAAAATGAAGAAAAAACTTATGATTTTTGGATAGAGCATTTATAAAAAAATCTATAAGAGAAGTTTCAGACAGAACCTGATATTGCAAAATATACATTTCTAACCTAAGAAGATTTTAAAGAGCTTTCAAAAAGTTAATAAATTGATCATAAAGGTGAAGCTCTATTTATTATTACTGCTCCTAAAGGCACAATAGTAGAAACAGTATTGGAAAATAATCCTGAATATCCTTATTAAGTATACTTAAATAGTTCGAAAGTGCAGTGTTAAAATAATGAAATTCAAGTTTACATTTGTTAAGATGAAAATTATCCAATCGAATATGATAAAAAGTAGAAATGACATAATTAATTCAATTTATTATAAAATTTTGCAGAATTTCATAGAACTTAAATAATTTACTAAAATTTTTGATTAAAGGCTTAGAATTTTCATCTTTTTAGATCAAATTTTGAAAACAATATTTTCTTTTTAGGTTTTTTGATTTATTTCTTGAAGGATATAAATTTATGTAAATGAATCATTATTTATGTATAAAATATCACTATAATCATATGTGAAATTTATTTATACTTTACAAATAATTTATTTACTTGAAAATAATATATAGTTTTTCATTTTTTTATAATCTGTAAATTAAATTATACATATAAAAACATATATTACTATTTAAAATCGTCTAATTTAACTAATAAAATAAATAATAATAACAATCTCTAATATTAAATAGTTTAAAATTGATTATGAAAGAAGTATTTAAGTTAATAATATCTGAAATTTAATATGATTATATTAATTTAGATTAAAAAAATAAAGAATATATATATACAAATGAAATAATTTTCTATGATTTTTAAGGAAAACAATTTATTTAATTATAAAGAATTATGAAAATAAAATCTTTAACATCTTAATTAGATAAATAATAATAAAGCATTGAATGATATTGTTTTATAATATATTTTGAATGTATAAAATCTCATCTACCCAAGATATTTTTGGTACCTCTTGCTGCTTTAAAGTCATCACAAGGATGTCTATAAAATGATATGATCTTCTTGCCCCATTAGAATTAGGATACCATGTAACCTTTCAAGTTAATATCATCTTTTGATCCAGGAATCCAATTATGAGTTTCTGTTAATTCTTCTAAATCTGCTTCTAATCCAGGATAGAAATCATAATCCTCATGAACTATGCATAAATATAATTAGAATACTGACGTAATCATTTCTGTCTCCATATTATTCTAAATCAAGTAATGCCAAATGTTAATCCAAATAGTAATTACTCCAAACAGCGCTATGGAAAGTAAGCTCATTTTCTAAATCTTCTAATTCTTTGCTTTAACTGGAAACAACTTGATGACAAATACGTTCAACATCAAATTCTTTATTAAGGAGAGTATCATGACCCTTTTATACCTTATCAACTAATCCTTCAGTAGTGATTTATTCTCTCCAGTGATTCCAATCAATTTCCTATAATTTAATTAAGATATTACTTAAGCTGCACCTGTTGTAGGTTTTGAATAATAATTAAACAAGGAACTTAATTATGATGTGTAAAATCTGCTCTCTAATGTATTGGCTTTAGCAGTAAGAGTTTACAACCATTTATTGATCCTATCTAAATTAGCACTTGGACGAGCTGCAACTGTCTTGCTTCTTGTTTGGTTGACAATTAATCTTCTCATATCCAAAATTAAATATTTAATATAATAGACATTTATATATTTTCTAGATTACATCTCAATTCAAATTGAATGTAAATCAAATGAATAAGTAAAGATTAACATAATAGAAATGATATAATAAAGAATAGTGTATTCATAAATTATTAAACTATTTATTTGTATTATTTGAAAAATATGAATATAATATTTTATTCATACCTTAAATTTGTATGAAATATTTAATAATGATTTCAAATATAAAAACTCAGGATGAATGTAAATACATATATTATTCAATTTCACCAAATAAATCTAGCAATTAATGTCTCATAGGTTTAAAACTATATTTAAAACCAATAAGATTTCTATTTGGAGAGAGATGATTTATATTTACTTTTTCTAATTTTTCAGGAAAGTTTTTATAAGTGTGAAATTTTTATAATTATTTCTTAAATTCATCAACAGACTATAATAATAAGATTTATTATATATATATACATTTTTTTGTTTATCTGTTTTCATACGTTATTCAAGTTATTCTTCAATTGTTTATTTAAATACTGATCTAGTTAAATGCATTACTGGTATTTTTTTTTCAAAAAATTTTCTTTTTTTTTATCTTTCATGTAATTCTTTTACATTTTCAAACATATCAACATCATTTTAAAGTACTCCATTTTTAGTTATACATCTTTAAGGTCTATTTGGTGTAGACATTTCAACTTAAAATTCATAATCTTATAAAATTTAATCTGTCAATATATTAAAATCTAGAAGTGTATTTAATTTAATTTCCGTTTCATTACCTTAAATTAATCCTAATTTAGATAATACCATATTATTCATAATTTAAGATTAATAATTAATTCTTTTTATATATGTCTTTACATATTCAATACCATGTTTACGTGCAGCACTATCATTAGATTCTTTAATAAAATTCATAGCTCTATCATGATATTCTTTAGCCAATCTTAATTCTCCTTATACATAATAAAGAACTCCAAAATAATCATAAATTGTTGCTTCATTTTCAGTATCATTCATATACCATACATATTAAAGAGCTTTCTTTAAAAATATCTTGCTGAGTTGATACTATTATTATAATTTACACAAATCTCCCATTTGAATTAAAGCTTCAATTTTAAGAGCTTAATTATTTTAAACATCTGCCAAAACTCTAAGTACATTATAAATGTACAATCCATTTGCAAATTCTCTATTAGATATATACATGTCTGCCAGTATATGAAGTGATTTACCAAATATATTCAGATCATAGGCAATACATTACTAAACTAATTTCTTTGTTACTACACTATTGTAAGAATGATTTACTATCTATAGCATCATCTAATTATCTATCATAAATCAGTTTTAACAAATCTTTTTTCTAGTTATTTAACTACATAAGGACAGAATTCTCTTCTAATAAGAGTTTCCTAGATGTAGATAGAACTTGATTATGTTTTGTGTACAAGTATGGCAATTTAAGAACTTTAAGAGAAGAAATACTCTAATTGTTCAGTGTAGTTTCAATTTGAGATGTATTTGTAATTTGTCTGGTCTTTGTTGATTTCATTGAGTTAAAATAAATAGAATCATAATACTAATTTCTTTCCAAACTTCTTTTTTGTTTTCTATAATGCCTTCTGATCATCAAATCTATTGCCCATCAATACCAATTAGAAGTTTTCTCCTGTTTATAGTAAGAATTTCTCTATGGCATCTCTAGATTAATCATCAATTTAATTCATTGATAGATTTATCAACCATAATCTTGAATTCTTCATTAGATACCAATTATTATCTATTTATTGAATTGGTTCTAAAAATGGTACAGGTTCTTCAGTTCCTTTTTTCTTTACTTTCTTATTTCTTTCAATAATAGCTTCTCTCTCTTTTTCTTTAGTTTTATATTCATCATATTCTTCTTGACTCATTTAAAATCTCCCTATATTTTATGTTATTCCTTATAAATCATCAAATGATTATATTTAATTCTTAGCTAAACCTAAATATTCCATTAAACTATTTTAACCCAACATTTTTCCTATTAAATTTAAAGCTTCTTTTGATAATCTATTATCATACAAATCTAAACATTTCAAATTTTGGACATTTAATGTTAATGTTTGAATTTGTTAATTTGCTAATAATTTATAAAAATAAACTTATACTTAATTAACAAGATCTTAATGTTAAAAATTCGATTTATTATACTTATTATAAAAAGTTTTCATTAATTTGTTACCAATCAATAAATAACTTTTTAACTTTATTTTCAGGATTATTAATTATTCCTGCTATCTATTAGTATTATCTAGCTGTTAAACCATTATTTGACATTTTTATAGTTGTCAATCCACTAACACCAGCACAATAATCTAATAATCTTAATGTAAATAGATCTATTTTTATCTATTTTATCATATATAATCAAAATTACAGAATTTATTTAAATCATTTAAGGTACTTAATCTCCATCTAATTCTTCAGGGTTTCTAAATTTTGTATTTTCATCAAAATCATTTAAATCAATCATTTAAGTTGGCAATATAAATGATGGATGTCTAGCAATTCCTATTGTTTGACATAATATTTCCATATTATCAAAAATATTATTCTTCATCATAGCACTCAATTCTGGTTTGAAATAATTCAAATATTCATTCAATTATTCCATTTACTCATTTGAATAATCTATATATTCATAAAATAGTGGAATTTCTTGAAACATGGGTTCCAGCGGTTTTCTCTCTTCTTTTTTAGGTGGCATATAATTTTTAATAATAAATATTAATTATATTTATAATATTAATATAATAAAGTAATTATTCTACTCTAAATGTTTAATGTAATTCAATGAAACTATAAACACTTATAAATAATATTTATTCAAATACATTTATTTTCATAAATTTAACATACTTTTGTTTATTTTTATGAGAATCCTTTTTAATTATAGATTTTAATATAAAGTACTTATATTTAGGTAGATGTAGAAATTTATTAATATTTGTAACATATTACTAATATTTGTATTTTCTTAAAAAGACTTTGATATTTAATATACATAAATTATGTTGAAAAAATCTAAAATATTACAAAAAACTCTTATAAGTCTTCATATTGTTATCTATTTTTGTATAAAAGTTTTTCTTAATTATTATTGGTTCTTCATTATGATGATTTCATTAATCATTAATATATTTTTTATGTGCACTCGAATTCATGCATCTAACAACAACAACGCCATGATGTACCTTAAATTACGTGAGGAAGGTTGTGATAAAAATTCTGCTAGAAAATTTTGTCGAAAACAGTTCTGCAAAGTAGGGTCACATTAAATTAGATCGATTAAACATAATCCTTTATTGGACCACCAGGACATAAAATATTGAAAATATTGCCAGATAGATTATTGGGAGAAAAAGGATGGTAACATGGTTTCCTTATGAAATATGATTTAGGTGTTGGTTATAAAGAATCAGCAGGTAACTTAATTTTTTAATATAGATTTGAATGAAAAATTTACACCTGCTGAAATAGCCATTCTTAAATAATACAATGAATATGAAAAAAAGAAAAATGCTATGCTACTCTAAAAAATGTTAGCTGTCAAAAAGTATGCAGATTCTTTAAGACCTCCAAAATTAGATGTTTTTAGTAAAAGTTATTTACAAAGAGTAAAATAAATTTCATAAGAACTAAGAGAAAGTTAATAAAAACCTAAGAAATACTTTGAATTCGATGACATGAAGTTCTATGCTCTTGTAGATTATTTCAGTAGATAAGGATCAAAATAAGATTTGATGCATATTAATTTCGATCCTATTGTCAAAGAAGACATTAAATTTAAAACAGAAAATACTCATAAAGTAAATACTGCTAGAACTTTTAGAAGGATGGGAACAATAAGTAATATAGAAAAAGAAGCTAATTTTATTATGGCCTTATAATAATAAGCTCCATTAGGACAAGATTTAGAAAAAATTAAACAAAAACCTGAAGTTCTATCACTATTAAAATTAAATCATTAAAAGATGGATTTAGCTGAAGAATTCAATTCAACATAATATTTATTTACTCCAACTAATGCATAAACTTAATAAGTAAATACAGTTGATGATGATGCTATGAAATCTTTTGTTTAATAATTTTATTCAAAATAATATGATGAAAAATCCAACTTTTTAATGCCATTTAAAAGAAACATAAGAATGAGAACATAAGCAAACAGTGATTCCAAAAAGACACCTAGAAAACCAACTAATAAAATTAAAACATAGAGCATATCTTGATTATAATCCAATTTATAATGATATATTATTAATTTAAAATATTAAAATTATTTTAATTATATATATTTCTCTACACAAATTTAATGTATAAAGAAAATACAATAATAAATACAATAAAAAAATTGTGAATATACTATAAAATATAAATTGCTATCATATATCTGTTTTCTCTTTTTAAACTTCCTATTATTGTTAATCAAAATTCTTTATTAATACATTTTATTTTTCATTTTACTATTTATTATCATTAGATTATTAAAATTAATTATCTTCTATATTTGAGCTAATATTGTCTTATTAATTTTATTTTATAGAGAGATTATTCTAATTTTCGATAATCTATTATTATTATTATTATTATTATTATTATTATTATTATTATTATTATTATTATTATTATTATTATTATTATTATTATTATTATTATTATTATNTTTACACCTGCTGAAATAGCCATTCTTAAATAATACAATGAATATGAAAAAAAGAAAAATGCTATGCTACTCTAAAAAATGTTAGCTGTCAAAAAGTATGCAGATTCTTTAAGACCTCCAAAATTAGATGTTTTTAGTAAAAGTTATTTACAAAGAGTAAAATAAATTTCATAAGAACTAAGAGAAAGTTAATAAAAACCTAAGAAATACTTTGAATTCGATGACATGAAGTTCTATGCTCTTGTAGATTATTTCAGTAGATAAGGATCAAAATAAGATTTGATGCATATTAATTTCGATCCTATTGTCAAAGAAGACATTAAATTTAAAACAGAAAATACTCATAAAGTAAATACTGCTAGAACTTTTAGAAGGATGGGAACAATAAGTAATATAGAAAAAGAAGCTAATTTTATTATGGCCTTATAATAATAAGCTCCATTAGGACAAGATTTAGAAAAAATTAAACAAAAACCTGAAGTTCTATCACTATTAAAATTAAATCATTAAAAGATGGATTTAGCTGAAGAATTCAATTCAACATAATATTTATTTACTCCAACTAATGCATAAACTTAATAAGTAAATACAGTTGATGATGATGCTATGAAATCTTTTGTTTAATAATTTTATTCAAAATAATATGATGAAAAATCCAACTTTTTAATGCCATTTAAAAGAAACATAAGAATGAGAACATAAGCAAACAGTGATTCCAAAAAGACACCTAGAAAACCAACTAATAAAATTAAAACATAGAGCATATCTTGATTATAATCCAATTTATAATGATATATTATTAATTTAAAATATTAAAATTATTTTAATTATATATATTTCTCTACACAAATTTAATGTATAAAGAAAATACAATAATAAATACAATAAAAAAATTGTGAATATACTATAAAATATAAATTGCTATCATATATCTGTTTTCTCTTTTTAAACTTCCTATTATTGTTAATCAAAATTCTTTATTAATACATTTTATTTTTCATTTTACTATTTATTATCATTAGATTATTAAAATTAATTATCTTCTATATTTGAGCTAATATTGTCTTATTAATTTTATTTTATAGAGAGATTATTCTAATTTTCGATAATCTATTATTATTATTATTATTATTATTATTATTATTATTATTATTATTATTATTATTATTATTATTATTATTATTATTATTATTATTATTATTATTATTATTCTTATTATTGTTAAATTTACTTTATTTATCCATTTTATTAAAAAACAGTATTTTATTATTGAACTTCAGAATTATTCAATAATTAATCCTTATTATTTGATTATATATCATCTTATCTAATTTGAGATTTTATAATTTAACTTGTATTTTATTGATGTTCATCAAAATTTCTTAGTTAACTAATATTACTATGTATTCCACTAGGTTTTTAATTATCTAACCATTTTATTCTTTTCCCATCTTCCCATTCAGATAAAAAGATCTTGTCCGGTTCTGGTTCAGTTTGTCCTTCCTTTATTTTACCTTTGATTGTAAGTGTAACAATTCCAGTTAATTTACCCATTCTCCATTAACCTGACAATTTTTTTCCATCAGGCCATTCTAATTCACCATAACCTGATTTAATGTCTTTCAAATAATGTCCTGTATATTTTCTCTTGTCTAAAATTAATTTAATTAAATATGTACCTGGCCAAATAAACTCTCCTTTCCCTTCCATTCTTCCTTCTACCCACTCTCCATCATATATTCTATCATCTAACCATTCATATCTACCTTATCCATGAAATACATCATTTTTAAAAAAACCAGTATATGTTTCTAATTTACCTGTTTTCTTATTTTTCCTATTACTCCAAGTAAATGTTCCTTTTCCGTTTTTTTTTCCCAATTTATATTGACCTTGATAATTAGTACCATCTGGCCATGTTTCAATTCCATTTCCATCAGGTCTTCCACATAAGAAATCACCTTCATATTTGAAACCATCTTATCTTGTAAACTTACCCTTTCCATTAATTTCTCCCATTTTAAATTATCCTTTTGAATTATAGTTTGTTTAATACCAGTGTAAAAAGATCCATCTTTGAATATTTTTCTGCCCTCTCCATCAGGAACTCCATCTACAACTTGACCCTCGTAGACCTGGTGATCAAGATAATATATTTTGCCTAAACCAAAGGGTTTTCCTTCAGCCCATTACCCTACATAAACATCTCCATTTAATAATTAATAACTAATTATTTAGATAGAAGTCATTACGGAGTATCTATTAAAGGTATTCTTTTATAATTAGGAGTAAGAGTAGCCTTAATTTCAAGCCTTGGTAATTTCTAGAGTTGTTTTTTTACTATAGCAGGATATTGATCAATAAATTCTTATTAGGCTTAAAATGAAAGTGGTTATAGACCTTGGGGACAATTATCCTCAATTTCATATGATTTAAGTTGAATTGGATCTATATCTATAGTTTATTGTTCTTTTTATTGTTCTTATTCTTTTCCTTCAATCTTATCAGCATTTTGGAGAAGATCAGTATGTTATTATTAATTGGCCTCATTTAAAGGTGCATCATCTAAAATATAGTCATCATCAATTTTTGTTTAACATGAACAAGTGATACCCATTTGATTCTAATAAATTATATATAAAATAGTTTTTATTTCTTTAAAAAATATTAAATAAAATAATTTGATGTTTAAAGGATAATCTTTAAGAATTATCTTATACATAAAAGAGATGAATTAAAATAAATTTAAATTCTGAAATCATGGTATTCTTCTTAAAGATTATTTAGAATGTATAGAATTTAGATGAGCATCAATTAAAATTCCTTCTAGATCTTGTTTACACATACTTCTAGAATATTTCTTAAATTTTGAATCTCTTAGTTTTTCATTTAAATTATTAACAATCTAATTAAATACTTATCCACTAGTTTTTCTCATAGCATTTTCTCCTATTTCTAATCCTTATTTTTTTTTATTTTAATCCAAATCAGAGATCAATTAACCAATATTTTAAGTCAAAAATTAAACTCTTTAGAATTTCTTTTTTGAATATTCTACTCTCATAGTATCATATCCAATATGAGTAGATCTTTGAGAAGTATCAGTAGATGCAGGAATTGATGCCAATTTTCTATCACTAGCATATTAAAAGAAAGGAAGAGTGGCTCTTAATCTAGTTGATTTATTTGCACTTTTGTTTTAGATATCTTATTTTGTTTTTGAATATCTTCTTCCTGAAATATTTGGCTTAATGTTTGTTTCATCTTCTTTAGTTAAAACTTAATCTAATTTTTTTTCAAATTGATGAATCATATGTAATCTTTCAATTTATTCAATTTCTCCTTGTACTCCATTCTTTCTGAAATTTGGATGTAAGAATTATTACCAACTTTTAAATTCTTTATTTCCTATATCTTCATTTTATTTTTATTCTGATTAAAAGTTTTATTCAGTATAATCTTTCTCAAACATTTTAGCTTGAAGTAATACTTTCTTCTTTTCTTCAATTTATTTCAAAGAAAGTCCTTATAATTCACTTTTATAGAATCCCTTTACTTTTTGAAATACTAAATCTCTAGGTTCATAAAAGTCTTATAATAATTAAACTTTATTATCATTTATATTTTATTTAAAGAATTTCTATTGACCTAATAAATTTTTAAATATTGAATTAGGTTCTAACATTCTTAAATGACTAATAGTCAAATTAGGTTAAGATCTAATAAAATGAATTACTTTTAATGCAAAAGCCATTTTAAATTTAAGAATTTCATGTTCATCAATTATAATTGACCATTTTAATGGTAGAATATGATTAACATTTAATGCACACATTAGTTCAAATGATGGATAATCAAAGATTTTCAAAAAACCATCTTTAGATGTAGATATTACTTTAGACTAACCTTCCTTTAATAAATTATCACCCTCTAATGATATAAAATCTATATGTTATATTCTTTTTTTATGAGCTTCAAAATATTATTCTAATTTCAATTCATGAGTTGTGCTAATAACAAATCTAGTAACTTTATGATTATTGACTCCTAAATTATAGTCTTCCCAATTTTATCTAAATGGATGAAATTATACTTTTTAACTTTTTTATGTATTAAATTAAAGTTTACAAATCAATCCTCTTCTAGATCCTAAAAGAACTGCACCATTTTTATCAGTGAAAGTACAACAACTTTATTGAATAAATCCTAATTATTAATAAAAATATTAATCCTCACTCTTATTAAATTAGAGAAAATATGTATTAATTTTACATCCAATAATCAATATACGATAACCATCTAAAATATAAACACCTTTAGGAGGTGATTCAGTTCTAATTGTAGAGACTGGTTTTGTGAATTCCAAATTCCATAAGCATACAATATCAACACCAGCTGTAATAATCAAATCATGGAATAAAGAAACATAACAATAATCAATACCATTATGAACATTTTCAGCTTTTCTTAAGGATTCTAAATTTAAATTATTCTCCTTATAGATATGTAACTAACCATCTAATGATGATGTAGAAATTATTCTATTTTAATAATCAATTGAAAGATGAGTAATTTTATTACTATTATTTTAGTATTCTTTAATTAAGTCACCAGAATTTGTATCAAATATTTTAATTAGTCCCTTTGTTGTTCCAAGTACTATCTTTTTATACTATTGAATTGCTTTGAATATTGACATATAATACGTTTAAATTGATTGATCATATCATCTGTTTGACCAATCATAGCCTTTATTATGGTATCCGTTTATCCATTAGATAAATTGATAATTCGAATATCTCTATTTGTTGAGACAATCAATTATTTTTTTATTGCATTTAATTCTACCTATTTAGGATATAAGTGTATAGTCCTTTACTTTTAAGGTTTAGGTTAAGAAAGATTTTTATTATGACCTTCAAAAGCCATTACGATTAATCGATTCGTAGCAAAACATACACTTGAAAGATTCTACATTATAGTAATGTAATTGATAGATTATTTCATTTCTAAATCAAAAGATTAAATGCATTTCATAATTCTGATATCCCATAATTTTACAATCAATCGATCATCAGTTGTTATTACTATTGGGGATTTCTCTACACATTAGATTGCTGTAACAATAGCATTATGACCTTCTAATTAACCAACGTAATCTCCATCATTATATTTCTTATGCAATTAATAAAGATTAACTTTAGTATCAAATCCAGAAGTTATAATTAAGTGATATTCTTAAAAGAATACAATATTATTCAATCGACTATGATTGACTTATAATTTAAATAATAATTTAGGTTTATTGTATTCCCATAGATCCCACATTGTTAATTTATCTTAACAAGCAATACATACTAATTATAAATATGTTATTTCAACTATATTTACAACATTCTTAATTTAATCATGAGATATAACACTACTATTTTCAGTTTCCAAATTCCATATAGATATTTTTGAATCAGTACCTACAGTCATCCATTTGTTTTGAACATAATATATTCTATTTTAATCTATTTTTGTTGTAAAGTACTTTTCCAATTCAAATTAATCACTCTAATCCATAAAACAAATCCATGCATCTTTAAATAATATACCTATTCGTTATTGTTCTTCAGACCAACAAAAATCATGGATAATATTTCTCAATTATTATGCCTTTGGTCTCAATCTACTTAACAATGTACAATCAGGATTATAAATACTAATATAATCACTATATTAATGGAGGATTAGAATCTTAGATTCTGATTCCTAATATTACATTC